GCATTAAAACTTACAGATACATTAAGGGACACATTTCTCAAGATTTTGTGTAAAGTTTTCACAGATTTGAGCAAAACAAAATATTTTCAATCTACAAACAAAACAAAATGCCTTTTTAGCCTGCCATAGTATTTCTGTATAGAATATACATTACTAGTACAAATACAACTCATGACTTGATGGTTTATAGAGAACCATAATTAAGTTGCAAATACCATGTAATGTTTATTGTAGAGAGAAGTATAACATGCTATATGTCTCTTATGTTGATGAGTTTTACATATTTAACGAACATCTCATAAATTGTTCCCTGTAGTAAAAATTTCTCGGTACAAACTTGAATATAAAAAAACTAAGAACACACATCCAAACTACAAAACAAAATCCGAAATCTAAAATAGTTAACAGCAAATGTACTTTTCTAATGAGAAATTATATCAATTATGATCGAGTAAGTATTTCATTTTATTTTATTTGAAAAGTGATATCAGGTGTCTAGAAGAGACCCCCCCCTCCCCCTTGCAGCCCGAAAGCAAGTTTTTCGGGCAACAATCTCACAACTATATTAGAAATTCAGGCAATCTCAGATATTTCACTCCCCCCTCGGACATAAACCTGGCTCTGCCACTGCCACAGTATATTGAATTTGCGCATAGGCGTGAGCCTCCCTCCATAAGGGACTGAGTATGTTTTCCCCTAGCAAAATTGTGAAAAATTGTAATGATGCGATGCATATATGACACGTATATAAGGCAAAAAAAGTATAAAAAACAATTTTGAAATTTTTTAGAAATAAATTAGGGTAGAAATTATTTTTGTGGGGGGACAGAAACCGCCTTGCCCCTAATTGAGACCCCCACCATTATTGTGGATCTCGTAGTGTTTGAAGTGGTTGAATTAAAATTCTCATTTTAATCATTGTTTGTGTTATGCAATTTGTTAAATAACATTCTATATAAATCTTAACTCTAATATTTTGAGAGAAAAGAACACTTAAAGAATATTTTTTAAAATTTGATAATAGTACAAATCTTCATGTTTCTTAGAGATTGTCACTCCTTTATGTTTGGACTGAGTTTAAAAGGAAGGTGTAAGATGACTTAAGAATCTATAATATTGTTTATCAAACTTGAATGACTCTTAAGTTTTGACAGATGAGGGTCTATAAAATAGCGTAGAATGTACTGAGCTCTCTTGAGACGATTAGATGATATTATCAAGCATATCATATTGTGATTATTGTCAGTTTATCTTACCATATGTTTTAACTTCATAGTCCTATAACCACTCCCCTTATACTACCAACTGGTACATTTTCATCCTTCTTTTTCAGAATTTACCCTTTATTTCTTTATTAATATCAATTTCTTTTTATTCCTTTGGACTTAAAGAACACCCTTAGATTTACTAGGCGTTAACTATCAAAAATATCATTGGGCTGAAAATTCGTCTAAAAATTTATCAAATGCAGATCTCAGACAGAAATCAGAAGGCTTGAGCGTCCCAAGTGCTTAATCAAAGGCAAAAAACTCCTGTTAAAGGCGCAGGTGTGCCATTTTGGGGGATCGATTTTAGTTTTGAATAGATGTAAATAGTCTTCAGAAGTTCTAGAAATGTACGAAAATCAATTAATTCCTTTAAAAATATCTAAAACGAGGAATTTTACTCGCTAAAGTATGATTGGTCAAAAAAATGGCCTACCTGTTCCTTTAAATTACTGAAGTGAGGGCAACAGGGGCTAAATTAGTTGAACGCTAGATCAACAACCTGGGGAACCAAGTTTTATCCTGGTTTAGGTCAAGGTAATACTGGGATACTTCATCTATGTTCTCCCTCCTTTCTATGATGCATGCCAGAGGAGCTGTTATGGAAAAAATGTTTCTGAAAATGTGCACTACACCTTTGCTGAAATAGCACAACTCAAATATTCTGTAAGACTGGTATTTTTTCCCATGGTGTATAAAGTTACTACAGATCATCTATTAAGTAATAAGAGAACTTAATAGTAAAATTATGAAGAAAAAAAATTAATTTTGTGGTTGACGTCAAATTGAAAAAATTGAAAAAAACGCTATGTTGGCATTGTTGTGTTAAATTCTAACTAAATCCAAGAGCCATTTGAGGTTAAAGGATTTTCTATAGCAGG